ATGGGGTGCACATGTATGCTTTGGTGCTGAGTAACGGGATGATCAGAAAGAGTAGGGTTAGTTGAAGTAGGCAAATCCTAATGTTGAAATTTGTCTTGTAATTGGCCTTATGGCCTGTTTAATCTTTTGCACCAGTCTTATACTATGTAATATTATACAATATATCGTGTTTCTGACCAATCAGTTCTAGATTGATTAAGTCAATCTGTAATATTGCATTGCCATTTGCCCCACAGAATTCACTAAATCTGCAGGGCCAGAAAGTAAAAGGGTGCCTCCCAATCCCTCAGAGTTCCTATTTTTTTTTTATATAAAAGGTATTTTGAACAAGTAGCAACAGAGACTGTTTTCTCCTAGAGTGTGTTAACCTAAAAGTAAAAGGCCTTTCAAAGTCAGAGGCAACAAGCATTTATTTGGGACACAGTGATTCAGGCAGAAGCCCAAATAGTGTTCCAATTAGGAGACAAAGGCAATAGATATTTATGAGAAAAGGAAGGGGAACAATTACATCAATAGAACGAATGGCATTTCCATTGGTGCAGATAACCTAACTGTTGTTAATTATAAACAATGTTTTTAATTTTCAGTCCTGTAGTCATAATATCTGCTTTCTCGTTATTTTTGAAAACAGCTCTTTGGGGCATAAGGCTGCTTTAGTCCCAGTGCAAAAAGTTATTTTGCCCTGTTTTAACATTCCAAAGGTTTGAGGCATCAGACCTGCAAGGCAGTTTCTCTGGCATGGCAGCTCTGGCTCCATTTTCAAGTGGCCGCATTTATTGCTGTTTTTGACAAGTGGAATTGAAGAAATTTTATGGGAATTCTAATAATCTTTGGCATTTGTAAGTGGATATCAGTTAGTCTTAATTAATAACCATTTATTCACTGAGTGTTGCAACATTAGAGATTAAATAGGATATGAGATCCCAGATTCTTTTTTTGGGAGGGTCAGGAGCAGGAGATATGGGGCCAGATGTCACTACATCGGGTGGCAGATGATGGAGAGAATGGACACTCCTGCAGAGTTTTGTCTCATAGCTATTTCTGGGTCCCCTGGGTGCCCCAGAGTAACAATTCTTATAAGTTTTGATGATCCCTGAGACTGGGAGGGTCACGTTAATCTCATGTTCTGGTTAGCTAAGTATTGAGCAAAACAATTTCACTTCCAACCTGTTAATACTGCTTGTATCAATTTATTTTCTTGCTTTAGATTTTGCTTTACACAGAATACTTTTTCTTCTTCCTTTCTCTCTAAAGCTGGGTGCCTGCCTGGACACTAATCTTTATCTGAAATCTGAAATTTCAAGGCTCTGCAGGTTTAGGGAATCTCTTGATTCTGCTGCTGCTGCTTGAGTCAGCATCTTTCATAGGCTGAGGGACTCTCTCTGGTTAGGACTGTGGGCTCCATGAGAGCAGGGACTGTATCCTTTTAGTGCTTTGTTTTGCTTTGCATAGTGCTTGGGTCAAATTAGTGCCTAATCAGTACTTACGAATGAATGAATGGTTGCAAGTTAAAAAAATTGAGAAGCCAAAAAGGCAGAAACTTCTTAAAAATAAACCAAGTTTATACACTTGGCACCAGTGAAGTTCAGGCTCTCTTGGCCTTTAAAAAAAGCATATTCCAAACTTAAAAAAATTGCCTTGAATAACTTTCAGATAGCTTCAAACGTAGACGAGGACGTTTGTACAGGCAATTGACGAGAGGTGAAAGTAGTTCAGAACATTAGTGCCGTAAGACAGTTTGAATTGCTTTTAAAGTTTCCTGGGAAGCTGGAGAAGTTTGACCAGAGGACAACCAGAGTGTATTTATTTAATATGTTGAAATCATTTCTACTTTTGGAGAAAGTACTTTTGGAGTCTGTCTTTGTTAAAGCATTTTAGTGAATTTAAGCTGTGAAATGCAAGGGTATAAAGGTATGGATGGGAAGCACTTTGCCAAATTAACTGGAAAGGCAGGTCTAATAATAAAATCTTCCCACACAGGGCTGAGATTACTCTTCCCACAGGGATTCAGCTGCCTTCCTCTTCTGCTCTCCCACCCAGGAAACACTTGCCATCTTCCGTCTATAGAATTGGCTCACTCCATTTATCCCCATGACTTTGTAAAACACTTAGGGGTTGAGAAATAGCATATACTCTGCTTACTCAGGTGGGAGCACAGTCTGGGTAGAAATCCATAAGTTATTCTAATTGCTACTCTCAAGTACTTTCTGAAGAGTGCGCTTGTAATGCTGCTGTAGGTGTTGATTTTTATTTTATTTTATTTTATTTTTTTATTTTTATTTTATTTTATTTTTTTTATTTTGCCTGAATTCCATAACCTTCTTTTAGTCCTATGAGTTCCTGCTTCTGTTGCCTTATGAATCCTTATTGTAACATAATCTCATGAAAAACCAAGTCCACAGCTAGCCAGTATATGACCTAACTCTTTCTAGGAAAAACAAAATCCCAAATGACTGATAACTTGAGAACTCCATAGAAACATAACTCATTCTTTTAATTTCCTGAATGCAGAATTATAGCAAATAATACGATTATAATGAAATTGCAGCAGGTATGCTAGCAAATAGAATTTGGAACAACAAGTGGAAATAGAAGGTTTAATAAGACCCCCTCTTTCAAACATTTGCATTCTTAATGGGATTTGGGCAGGTTCCTTTTAATGTAGCCTTTCATATATGGTCCCTTGGCAAGGGTATGTGAAGTTTAGGTTTCAGTGTAGGACACCCAGAAAGTATTCTGCTTTAAGAATAGGCTTGTATTCTTTGGGGATACAGAGAACTAATGTAGTTCCTTATGGTCATGATCAGCAGAGTGATAAGTACCTGGTATAAGTTATGTCTAGAAGGCATTCGTTTCTATATAAAGGAAAAATAATTGTGTGATAGAAAATGATAAAAATAGATAAGAGAGACCAAAGTATCACCCATCTAAATTCTACCCAGGTAAAATCATTTTAGTTTATTTCTTTATCTAAATGAATTATACAAGTAATGAATGATGATGTTCCCATTATAAAAAGCGTATAGAATAAAACTTAAAGTTTTTTTCCCCTCCTCAGAAGTGATAGCTATTAACATTTTGGAGTATTTGATTAAGCTCTTTAAATGCATGTATACATTTACAAATATATATAAGTGCAAATTGAATCAGGCAGTACATATTATTCTATAACTTTCTTTTTGTAATTTAATTTTCTGTCTTAGAACTTGTTCCATAACAGTACATAGAAATCTCCTTTTAAGTGGCTGTAATGTACATAGGCTCTC